ATGGACGACCTGAGAGAATAGATGATCAGTGCTTCATATTTTTCATCCAATTGAAATAAATCCTTAGATAATCCAATATTTTTTAGTGCATTGCTCTTTTTTTTCCTCCTGACTTTAGGTTCTTTCCTATGCTAGCACTTGCTTATGATATGCTAGCATGGCTAGCATATGGAAGCAGTGCACCTGATGAAATCTCAAGAGCGAGAGAAGAACCTTGAGAGTATATTGAAGGGGCAGACGTGGGGAAGCCGCTGCTTGCCTGCTCGGCATCCCTGGTACCCTATTCGATCCCATTGGTGCTCGCTATTGGTGCTTCCCTTCTCACGTCCGAAACTAAAATCGAAAGTAGCTAAGTCCCTCACCTCAACAAAGGCAGTAAAGGAAGCTAATTGTTTTAGAGTAGGAGGTTTGGAGCGTGATCACCGTCGCCGTTGCGTGTAAGATTTTGCAATGCTTGCGGCCCGCCCAGCTTCGAGCATATGCAACACTGTCGAACTGCTCTCGTGGAACCCGGCCCCGGACACGGACGACTCTATGTAGCTCCCACATTGCACACCCATCTGCAGCATCAACTGCCACTGGTTTTCTTGGATGAGACTTGGATCTTTGTTGTATTGGGGGCAGTGATATGCGCCGGTGCGCCGGCGGAAATTTCGGCCGGTCGCACCGCGACCATACGATTCGTTTAAGTTAGAGCCATAGGATCTGCATGTATAGCCTTCCCAATCGCTAACTGCTTCGTTAGAGAGTTGTAAAAAAAAACTGCTTCGTTAGAGCAACAAAGGAAAAGCCATGGCGCCCCATCGCGTGTAGCCAATAGTCCTTAAGGCAGCCAGCTCGCCGGTGTTCTCGCCGCTTGCCTCAACGCTGGTCGCCACCCTCGTCGCCGATGCTCGCCCTCATAGAACCTGTCCTCACCGGTTCCAATAGTACGTTGTCGCCCCTCGTAGCAAAACCGTGCTGCCCGACGTCGCTGTTGTTGCAGCACCTAGCCGCCACCGTCACCGTCGTAGCACGTCCATCGAAGCACCACCATACCGCTAGCTGCAGCTCTCAGTGTCACCGCTCGCACCTCGGTTTGAAGCTTTTTCTCACGCCCGTTGAAGCTTTTATCCACCCCGCAGTTGAAGCTTTTCCCCGCACCGGTTGAAGCTTTTATGCATGCCCGTTGATGCTTTTTTTATCGACGCTCGCTGCACGGGGTTGCACAAACGATGGCCACCAGTCAACGCCATGTAGCAAAAAACTTCGCCGGTCGTAGCCAAAACAAACGACGGTTGCAGCAAAAAAAAATCATTGCCGCCATCGACCAACACCGCTGTGCATGCATGTAGCAAAAAAAGTCACTGGTGGCAGCAAAAACAGGCTACGGTTGTAGAAAAAACGTCGTTGTTCCAACAGAACAAACTCCGGTGGTAGCATTTTTGGGTGCTAGTTCCAGCAAATCTCCCTGCCGGTTCTAGAAAACTTGGTCGCCGGTTGCAACATCCTGTTAGCCCTGTCGCAGCTCCAGGTTGTGGCTTGCTCCATCGCAGGACGCGGCCGTTGCTCTGCGGCAGCGCACCTGCATCTTCTGGTTGAGACTTTTGTCGTCGTTGGTTGTAGCTTTTGGGTCGCCGGTTGCAGCATCGGTGGAGGAGCATGTTTTGGGTTTGGTTGGGGAAAGAAGATGCTTGCAACGATGGGGTAGGAGATGCTCATGAAAACAGCAAGGGGTCGCGCCGCTGATGCTAGCGAGCTCGTACTGCGGGAGACGGGATGGGATCAGACGGAGGCGGAAGGAAGAAGAAGCAGGGGAAAAGGAAGGAAAAAAATGAACAAGAGAAGGAAAATGTTTGGATCCACTGAGCGTGTGCGTGCCAGCGTGTCTCGCGCATGAAAAACGGAAGCGACCGGCCGAGCGCTTTGGCCGGCGCTCCGGCCCCAAACATTTACCATTGGAAGAAAAGAGGAGGAGGTACCATGTATTCTGGTTGTGGAAACAGGCTTGGCAGGGGCGCACCAGATTGAATCTATACGTGAAAGGAGAGGAACGTGGTTTTTTTTTGGAGGGAAAGAGAGGAACGTGGTGATGGTCTTCTTTTTAGGAAACGTGCTGATGTTCCTGGTTTCTTGTGAGACATGGTCTCTTCTAAGGAAACTATTTTTTTTTCTGATGCAAATTATGTAGGTTGGGTCAGGTTTACGTTTAGATTGGACTTTTTTCGCGACTGGGGTAACGTACATCGCATGGTTAAGATAGATCAATTACATAGATCAAACGACCAAGAATGATTAAGATATTTTTAATGATGTGAATTAACATGGAGCTTCGTATAATGCCTCCAATTAGTAAATAATGATAATAATATATAAGATTGGGGCAAAGTTTCAACCAATAACAATTCTTATTAGTATGTGTTCTGCGATACAAAAGTAAGACCTGATATGTTCCAAGAAATATTTTGTGAGACATATTTGGATAGGAGCGTGTGGATTTCTTTGGGTCATATGAAACTATAGGAATGCCATGGATTTTAACAGACAAACTCGTATAAATTTTTTGCAGGTTATCTATAGGGCCACTGCTTGGATCAGTATGTGGTCGTTACTCGCTCATGTGGAAGCAAGGGAGACTTTCGTTATTGTGTCTACCCAATGGGAGATGGTAGCTCTGGATATCTACAGCCGGTTTGAATGAGGGTCCAGTAATAAGATGGATGTTTAGTAATGTCGTTCTGTTTTCACCGGTTGTGGCATATTATTATTTTTTATTTTTCTTCAGCTCTGAGCGAGCTTGTTTTGAAAGACTGAAACACAGACTTCTCGGTCACTTTGCTTAATAAAGGGGATGCATGCATCAGTCTGATGTAGAGGCCGGGAATAATCCTTATTTTCTGAAAAAAAGACTAAGAAATATTTCCCCGCCTAAGGGCATCTGCAACGTTGACCCTAAATCTGCTCCCGCAGTATCCATCCGTGGACCGAAGGGACCAATTCACGGACACGGATGCAGAAGACGACCATTCAAAGCTATCCGCAAACATTTCAAATATGATTTAAAATAATCAGACAAATTTAAGCAGCCACATCAGACTTCATTCAAGTTCGGAGATAATTATATTTACATATACGAATGATATTTTAGACGTTTAACTGAGTACTAAAAAAACATATAGCTTGTACTGGAAGACCACCGTACCTCGTACACGTCGCCGCCCTGCCCGGCCGCATCACCATCACCGTCAATGTCATCGTCATCGTCGTTCCTCTAGCAGCGCTAGGGCGCCGGTGGCCCTCGGCATCCTTGTCCGGCCGCAGTCTGCCGCTCGCGGAGGAGCCGCTCTGCCTCCTTCTGCATGGTGTGTTGGGCCGCCACGACCAATGCTGACGGCGCCCGTGGAGCTCTGGCGGCAGCCTTACCCCTGTCGGTGTTGGCGGAGGAGTCGCTAAGCGACCATTCCAAGGCGGCGGCACCGCCAGGTTGTCGTCTCCACGGTGGTGACGGAGTTGTCCAGGGCCCAGGCGGTGGTGCGGCCTGGGTCGTTGTGGACCCATTCCGGTAAGCATTAGCTGTACCACACTGACATTTTTAGTCCCCACTTAAATTTAAATTTTTTCATGGTTATTTTATGCAGTTTTCTCTTAAGCAATTATATATGGTGTACTTCATAATATACAAATTACTTTTCTAATCTGCTCGTGTTTATTTGAAACACATCAAGTATGGACTGCCTCATCATGATATATGAATTACTAAGAGAAAGAAAACTAACAAGTGACATCTGCTCTCTTTTTACTCGGATCACCTAGTAGTGTATTGCTTGATCCTGTTAAAGTTACATACATATTTTGAGTGCTTGAAATCATGTGGGATAAAAGCATCGGTCCTAGTATTTTTAAATATTCAATCTGCCACGGTCTTTGTTACTGTTGTCGATAAAAGTTCATGACCAAAACTTTGAGGAGTATCAAACTGTTGTACATGACTGAAACACAGAGCAGCAGAGATTGTTAGCACAACACGTATCTATTTCAATTGTAACACGATACAGACTATTGCAGCACAATGGAATTTTGAGTATTGAACCCATGGTCTCAACTTAGTAGATCTTTTGCAGATCACTTGGCTCCTCCCGGATTAGTCGAAACCAAAACTAAACTGCAGCTCGTGTCCACGGGAAGTAAGGAAACCACTAGGATGCATCTCCTGCACCTCACCTGCGCGGTCCCTCTCGTCTGCGTTGCGCTAGGACGACCAGCATCACAAATTCAGTGGCTGAGCTAATGGTGGGTGGCGCTCTATGGTCGTATCTGCGGTGGTTCACAGAGGAGGACGTGAACTCCCAAATTTCGTCTCTGCATAAGCAGGTGCGCTTTTGATTCAGGCCTTGGGGACACGATATCACAATTGTCTTGGTAATAGTGCCTTGCAATCCTCCCGTTATGATTGACAGCATGAGCAAAGAGTAGTAGAGCACTTCAATTTTCTGAACAAATACTCAAATTCGATGAATTCTGAACAATAACTATGAATAATAACTGCATTTGCCTTTTTTTTAGACAAATAACTTCATGCCTAAAAACCCTCATATGCCAACAGCAGTCCTGAAACTCTCAATGTGGAAGGTATGCTTACAACACCATTTACAGTTTTTAGTTCAAGTTTGGGGGTTGGGGATGCAAGGATTGGTAATCCACCACTGACTGGACTGAGTCCTTAAATTGGAATTATATGCAGTTCACTTTTTTGCCAGCCAGCATAGAAAGGAAGTGAAGGCGTTTGCTTAAAACTGCAGGATATCACCGGAAGTCTATAAGGATTTATGAATCGCAACTCATCAGAACCATGGGAATAAATAGGGGACAACTGCAGGATATCACTATAAGTATAATGAATTGCAACAACCACTTATCCGAACCTTGGGAAATAAATAGGGGAGGAGTGCAGTCTAGAAAATACAAAAGATACATATAAACTGTGATACTTCATCGACAAACAGAATGAGGTTTGTAGCCTTTCAAAGAGTATAGAAGGCTGTAGAGTGAGAGCAATCATCCATTCCCACAAAATTCTGTAGAGACCTCGGAATGGGTGGTACTTGGACGTCTACAACACCCTCAAGCATGCGCACAACATGACCCATCATTGGCCTGTGATCCTCATCATCTTGAATGCACCAGCATGCAGTTCTGCAAGCTCTGGTCAGCTGCTCCAAATCCGCATCGCCCGCCAGCCTACTGTCCAGCAGGCACACAACATCCCCTTCATTCACCTTGACCGCAGCAAAGATTGGGAAGTAGGTAAACTCCCCTTCCTTGATTTTCTCCGAGTTCCTTCGCCCCGATATGATCTCAAGAAGCATCATGCCGTAGCTGTAGACATCTGACTTGTGTGTGATCGGAACCCCCGAGATCCACTCCGGCGCGAGGTATCCGATGGTCCCTCGCATCGTCGTCAGCGCCCTGCTGAAATCTCGACCCAGCAGCTTGGCCATGCCAAAGTCTGCAATTTTGGGACAGAAGTCTGCGTCAAGGAGCACGTTGTCCGGCTTCATGTCGCAGTGTATAATGCGGTCCGTGCACCCCTCGTGCAGATAGGCCAGGCCTCTCGCGGTTCCGAGTGCTATGCGGTACCGGAGCTCCCAGGGTAATTTTGAAGAACCCTTGGAAAACAGATGGGAATTCAAAGATCCGTTCTCCATGTACTCGTATACCAGCATCCTCGTACTTCTTTCCACACAAAACCCAAATAAACGGACAAGATTGATGTGTTGGATCATTCCAATTGTTTGCACTTCGGCTCGGAATTGCTTCTCTCCTTGACCAAGGTCTTTTAGCCTTTTGATAGCCACCATGGAGGAAGCTGCTGCTGGCAATGTCCCCTTGAAAACACAGCCGAAACCTCCTTCTCCAAGTTTTTCAGAGAAATTTCTCGTCGCTTTCTTCATCTGCGCGTCCGAGAAGATCATAAGGCCACCGCTACAATTCTCTGGTCTTTCTGTGAATATCTTCCTTTTGCTTCTCCACCAAACAAACAGAGCAACAAGGAGGAGGAGCAAAACACCCGTCACTGTTGGAATAAGAATTCCAATCTTGGAACCCGAATTTTCTTTTTGCTTAGCCGTGCGTATGTACAGATGCCCATCTGAACCAGGCATGATCCCTACAGTGAGTTTGTGCAGCTCCACAGACCACAGTAAGCATGTTCCATTGAAAGCATATGACGTACAAGAACAGTCACTGGAACAAATAGCTTCGCACTCTCTGATGCCTCTGACCTGCACCAACGACGGAGTTTCTGGAAATACAAGGACTTCATCTATGGGATGAAAAGAGATGTCTTGTTTAGCGGAAAGATTAGATAGACAATGTGGAGCTGCAACTCTCAAACAATATGACCGGATTTCGGCATATGGCACTACACAAATGCTGTCTGGGCCACAATATGCTGCATTACCGCACCGACTATATTGAGACCACAGCGCCGGACCACAGTCCCCTAGTTTAGCAGCACTGACAGTACCATCATCATGCAATTGTAGGTACAGATGTGCATCATTGAACATCAGAAAAGAGCCTCCATCCTCCTCATGAATGTCCATCCAGCTGGGAAAAGCATCAGAGTAATTTATATTGTCGGAAGTATCCTGCACAATAAACCCTCTGCTTTGCTCTGCATTTATCTTGAGAATAAAGCGATCAATCCAAACAAGAGAGACGTTCTTGCCAGTGACCCTATTAAATCCTAGCCATCCTCCAGGTAGCACTGCACCGACTGGGTTGTCAAAGCTTTGCCAGGACACCAGAGAGATATTCACTTGGTCTCTTACTACAAGATTTCCATTGTCAAGAAGTACTGCAACTGCAGAGATAGGTATACCGTCCGTACCAAGTGATGACCAAGCAAGTGAGGCCTCATCATTTTTTAGATATAGGCTTCCATTTTTGAAGAGTCCAAACGAAGCCTTATCTGTACAACCGGGCGAAAATACATCAGGCGCCCAAACTAGTAGAGGGCTGCAAGTTGATGAGTTCATGTACCATATGCCGAATGTGCAATCTGAATCGAAGCCCAGCTTGAAGGAACCATATTTCGAGAGTAAGGACTGGTTACCGCTCAGAGATTGGCCCGGAAGAAGAGTATCCGTTGCGTCCACGGATTTGCACCCAGAAGACAGCAGGACCGTGATCAAGTAGGGAAGCGGCACCACAAAGGAAGACGATGAAGCTATGTGCTTGCCTGGTTTCGCCATTTAGTACGAGACCCTCACTAAAACTGTGGATGTTCTAGCTCGCCCGGTGCCCCCCAACTCTCACCCAACTAGTACTAAATAGGAGAAGGTGAAAATCAGAAAATGTTGACTATGACCAAGAGGGATATCATTCCAAGTCAAGGATGCCGGTCTGTTCTTGAGGGCGAAAGCACGTGGAATTTATGATGACTAACCTTATGGAAAGTCCTAATCATACAGAAAAATGTTGGACTCCCTCACCCTAGGACAAAGGGTATCCAATATTTTCTCTCTGGGCCATGAGTTTCCGAATAGAAAAGGCAAGGTGGTTGGCTTGGAGCCAAGCACTTTGCTGAAGAAACAGCCAACTGATAAGGACGGCGCTGGTACGTGTTTCTGTTTAGCTCACAACTCTGTCCGTCGTTAGGTGCTTCAGTCCTCTCTTTGGCGTGGAAAATTCTCGTGTGGGCAAATAATTCCTATGAGTTTTCAGTCCCTGTGAGGTATGCATCGTTGTCTCCATATCAGAATTATAATGTAACATATTATTCACTTGAGTCTGATTTTTAGAGATAACCTAGCCCGCAAAAAAAAGGAGAATTTGAGGGGAGATAGCCTGCAAAATTTTGTGCTCTCAGTATCATGTCAACCCTGAATACAGGTTCTTATGGTCGATCAGGTAGTGTCAACAGTATGATAACATGTCCATTAATAAGTTTTGTACTTTGGGTGGACATATAATTTCTTTCGGAGGTCACACATCCCGCTCCCCCCGCTCCCCTTCCGCCTAGGGTTTCCGCGCCGCTGCTCGCCTCCCC